GCGTCCCCCGGAGCGTCCCACTTACTACTGTGTCTAGACGGCTTCCACCATACCTGTATGTTCTTTGAACAAGGGTAGAACCCCGAATTCCTGGCCTCATGGCTGTAGCAGTTCTAAAGTTGTGAATAACCCCACCATCTAGCGTTCTTTCATATTAAGTAGTTTTGAATGATAGTGAGAGCATTATTTGTACATGTCTACTATATGCGATACAATATTTACGCAGAAGCCTCATGTGCCCGGTTGGTGTAGGAATGGTTATTGACGATAGTGGATAGGTGCCGAGAAGGAGGCATGGAGGGATGGAAAGAAGTGGGAGGTGGGATGGATGGAGGATGGGGAAGTGAGGTGAAGTGGGGAGACAGGGGTTCTACGAACGATATAGTGTTCATGGAGAAGCCGTACAGTCCTGGCTGGTGCACGAATGGGTATGGGGGAGGGGGAGGGGGGATGGGGAGAAGCGGGAGGAGTGGTAGGAGCGGGACAAGCGGGAGGAGGGTGAGAGGGGGGGGGAATGTTGGGATGATTGTAGCGGGAGAAGGGGGTGCGGGGAGTGCGTGAGGGGGAGGTGGGATGGGGGTAGCAGGGGGGAGGGGGGGAGGGCTGGGAGATCGGGTGGAAACAAATATAGATGATAAGAGGGCAGAAATAAATGTGAATAATTGAACAGTGAGGAGATTCTATCCTTCCTTTTCCCCATCCTCGTGGTCTCGAGCAGCAGGTTGTTGGGTGATACTCTACTCCCGCCGAATACGTCCTGCTACTTTGCTGCTCTAGTTTCCTCCGGTTATTTATTAAGAGTTGGGAGTTCGTTCGAAACTCACATCATGTACGAACCACGCAACCTATTTGGTATAATAATGTCTTACTGTACTTGTTGTGCCCGCACTATGGTGAGGGTATTAATATAACAACCGAAACCAAAAAAAAAAAACCATCAGCGAGGAAATATATATCTATGGTTGCAGAGGTGTACGCAAAGTTTTGCCCCCAGGAAATGCCTTATTCTTCATGTTCTTTTCTTCCAAAAGTTGCAAAAGAAAAAAAAGCCTACCCTCCCATCACAAAAGCTCATTCAATACCCTTAGCACCCCTCCTAACAGCGTCTAAAACCGTCTCGAGCACGCGGGTCTCCACAGCACCTTGGCACCCAGCACCGCAAAGGACCAACCCGCCGCCCCTAACGCCAACGGCGCATGCCGGGCCAACGGCTCCCCCGCTCGGGGAGAGTAATACTCTGTCGACGCCCGCCGTGCCGGCATCTAGGGGGTCGTTGATCTTCGCTGTGTGCTCCCGCTCGATGGAGAATAGGGTGGAGGGTGTCTGAGGGGAGCGTGAGAACTCTGATCGGAGACTGGCGAGGTACTCGCCTATGGCCACTTCCTGGATCCTGTCGCTGGCAAGGTAGCGGTGGGGGTTGATCGGCGTCGGTGATGTAAGTTTGTCAAATTTCACCGCTATCTTTTGGAGGGTTGCCGTGGCGGTGGTTGAAATAAGGAGGGATGTGATCGTGGTGTTCTTCCTGCGGGAGGAAGCGAGTAGTGCTTTGAGGCTTTTCGCGGCGCAGTGGAGGGGTTTGTTCTTGTGGTTGCGGGGGTTGGGCTGGTGTGTGTGGGACTGCTTGTGGAGAGCGTTGGGGGCGGGGGAGGCGGGAAGTATAACTTGGACAAGACCTCCGAGACGATGCGTGGGAGGGAGAGTGGGAGGGGGATCAGTGATCCAAGAGAGGAGGGGTACGGTTTTGTTTTTCCCTACGGGTGGACAGCATAGTGGCCGGCAAAGGTGGGATTTTTGTGAAGTCGAGAGAGCACGCTGGGGAGCAATTTGTGCAGCGCTAATCCACTGGCGGCGTTGGTTATGGGGAGGTGGTAGGTGAACGATATCCAGACTCTCCCATTCTATCCTCCCGCCGCTCCTGCAGCTACACCACCAACCTCACCCTCGTAATTTCGAAGAATCAAAGCACCTCCACCCGGGCACCCTGCCCAATTCGACACCTTGTGAATGCTGCTCCTAAAGCACAGTGTCTGGCTCAACGGTTGTATCGTCAACCGGCAGCAGTATCGTCTGCACAACCTCTTCTAGGTCGATCCTCCTCCATCGCGCGAACCGCGGCTCACTCATGTTCTCCCCAAGAATTGTCACGGCCAGCGGCGGGTGGAGGTTCATCGGACCCTTTTCAGCGGAGAAGATCCTTGGCTTCGTTGAAAGTGCTGGGAGGAGGGTGTAGTGCGTTGTTAAACCGCCGCTACTGTTGAGGATCAGGGTGCGGCAGGTTGTGGAGTAGCGTTCGCAAAGGCCTGCAGTTTCCACTTGGTCAGATGAGGGTTTCGTTAGCAGGGGCGTGGGGAGGTGCCAAAGGTTTGGAGTGTCTCCACTATATCTTCCATAGTCTTGATTTGATTGGAAGCCCGGATATTGATGATGTTGGTTGTGATTTGAAAGAGTGAGGAAAGCTGGAAAAAAGGAATGGATGCTGTATGGGAGAGGCGATGCGCATTTTTTTTTTGCGGATAGCTCTGAAGGGAGCTCTGTCCTTCTTTGTTAGCTATGGTCCTAGGTCTACTGTCTACCCCATCCATTGGGGATTGGCAGCGGGTGATTACCGTAGTAGACCAGCGGCCTACCGTATCATCCTCGAGCGATCGTTTACTGTGCCATGAAAATAAGGGACCTATTTTCAAAATACGAGGATACTCGAGTGCCAGTATACAGTACAGTTCAACGGGGGCGTCGAGCCCCTAAACCATAACCTCCCCCACAAAGACACCAATCTCTCGAACAGGCACACCATACTTAAACAACAAGACCGTGCCAAACAGCCATTTTTGAGACCCAGGAAAAGATTGTAAATTGGGCCTCGCTTAGCGCCCTTCACAGCACGCAATACCAGTATTAGGGTACGAGTACCGGTATCCAGAGTGCGGAAGAAGGATTGTCTCTATGGCGGGCGGATTACCGTGTGGAAGAGGTCAAGGTTTAGAAACTTCGCCCCCGCCACGGTATATCGTGGCACTTTGAACTCGGACCCCTGTTTTTCATTCGATAATAACGATCGCTCAACATCCTGGAGTAAGAGTGCAATATTGGCCATTTGGGTCAAGCGATTGTGGGAGGGTGTGATCTCCCAACTGTGATATGTCTGTGACGTTCACCTGGCACCGAGGGGATGGGACCATCGGTTGCCCGGCTTGATTGCTGTCCGCCTCCGAGGGTAGCGGTCTCAAGGCTGAAGAGCGGTGTCAGCTTAACAGAAGATCCTGGAATCGGCTAATCTTCGCTTGTATTCGTTGCCCAGGAATCTCGGATACGTACTGTCAATGTTGCTACCCACACCGTACTGTATTGTACCGCCAGGAGCAATCCGTCACCTGTAGTCATCCAAGCCCTTGGCGGCCGGGATATGTTGGGTCTAGGCTAAGACTTCCTGCCAGATTATAACTAGAGGTGTACAACCATAAGCCTTCCGCAAGTGATTTCCAATATCCGTGCTAGTAACTTTTCTTATAAGGCAGTTCGGGCACCGGAGATGCCCCATGTGTATCCTCAAATATTGATCCCTAGTTGTACGTGAGCACGGGTTTTACCAGGACCAGTACAGGTACAGGCAAGAGGACTCACATTGCTTTTCAAAATTGTTGAACTGCTTCATCTCACAAGGGTGTTTCTCCCCCCCCTCCGGCGGTGGCTAATTGAATTCGAAGAGAATACAATAATACTGATCCATATCCCAGGCATGCAGTTCATCCAAGACCTTTTTCTTTATGTTAGGGTTTCTCCCACCGCCCCCGCCTCCGGATCGCTTTGTCAAGCCCTTGATCGGACTGCCACCTCTATTTCCTGTCTCTGACAGAGCTACGGGTCCGAGTGAGTGTTGGTCCGCACTGGTGATGCTGTTCTTTGGGTTGGAGTGGCACCCACGACTCCAGTGGCTCTGCCAGTACGATGAACCTGCAGCCGGTGATATTGCTGCATATCGATTTCGTAATGTAAACCTTACGATCACAGCGACGATATTGTTGACGGGTTTGGTCTACCTGGAGAAGTTGAAGCCGAACGTATGGACACTGCACGAAACGGCCTGAATCTTTTCGCCAGTTTTCCACCGAATAGAGTATCTGGGTTGGGCATCCAGGAGGCCATGTGGCTGGCTCGTGGATGTTTCATTGCCAAAGAGGGAAATAGAGAAAGAGCACAGCCATGCACGAGTTCGGGAGTGTTGCTTGATTCTTACCTTAGTAACAATCTACCGACCACTACAAAGTTGCAAAAAATGTGACAAAGGAAATCAAGCATGACCGGAGGCAGTAGAGTCGTCGTAGATTATGGGAGAGATCTGTGGCTGTTCTCGCCTCTTCGCAGTGAGACGAACAAGGAGAGGGTGCAGGCGCCGCCTGTGAGATAACGTAATTTATAGGGCAACGGCTCAACACCGTGATGTGGCTCAACCATGGCAACCCGTGGAAAATTAAACATATCTTTCATTGTCTCCATGAATAATTGTGAGACAACCTTCAGATTTTATCAGTAGGTGCATTAAGGTATAGATAATCAGAATATGTGAATAATATTACATATATTAATTATAAAATATTTCTCTTGTACATAGTTTTCAAAATTGTTTATTTCAAGCTAGTAGTATTTGAGTTCATTGAGTTATGAAAATTGAAAAACATATAAGAAGTAATTGAATAAGTGAATTGAGTGATTGACTAAGCCTTACAGGTGTATAGCCAATGGTTATCTTTTGTACTTATTAGCATTGTATGATGTGGCAGTACCTGGTAAGAACTCATCAAAAGTATATAAACTACATACAAATTTAGTGTAATTGACAGTAGGATATCTAGTCACTGTGATATTCTGCCATTTTGACTTTTCACTGTTTAAGTTAGAGTGAGTGGTTGTACGAGGATAAAAAATTTGAAATTTATTAGAAAAGTTCTTCATGTTTTATTCCAAACTTATAATTAGTAGTAATAAAGTAAATTAATTACTTCAACCCTTTATATCATCTAGCAATAAGAAGCACCAATAATTTACACTGCTTGAGAACCTGCTAATAAGTTTACTCTAACTAGAAGACTAGAATAAAATTGCTAAACTCTTGTTAAATGCTTATATTCTATCAAATTATACTATTATTAAAATAGCTTGATTATAACAAATAATGCTAACAAGAACTAATATAACAAGTTATTTTGAAAAAATATGTCTATTATCCAGCTAGGATATCTATAAAATCTTTAGAAAACTATTAGCAAGATTTTGGACAATTTAGGGGTCTTGTTTTTAGAACTTTATTCTTCTACAACCCGTAATCTACTATTTATACCATATTTGAATACTTAAGATACAGAATCTGGAAGACATATTGAGTAAAGTTGAAACTGTTTATACTTATTTCAATAGCTGCTATAAAGTAGATTGCAAAAGATTGATATTGTAGGTTATTATAGTAGAAAGTTATCCTATTGTGAAATGTAGCAGATTTGTACGTAGTTTGCTTACTATTTAGTACCTTCTACTAGGTACTATAACAGGTTAAATCAGCAATAATTAAAAATAAGAATCAATAACCATGAGTCCATGGGGTTTATTCAGTCTCTCAATCCACTTATACAGGTATCTCTTGCTTGTTTTTCAATCTTAATATTCTTAAAAACTCTAGAAAATGTTTTGAAAGAAGTGGTCTTAAAAGCTATATACAAGAGGAATTGTTTCTAATTATATAATATTATTTACATATTCTAATTCTCTATATTCTAGTGCATCTATAAGGAAAGTTTGGTAGGTGTCTCATAGTTATTCATGCAGATAATCAAAGATGGGTTTGATTTTCTACAGGTTGCCATCCGTGAGCCGCATTATGGGGTAGGAGCTGGTTCCCGGTAAAATATGTTATTGTACTCTTCGCATTAGGTACTTGGGGAAATATTGAGGGTTGATGCTCTAAAACATTGCAAGAGCCTCCTGTTGGCAACAGGGGGGCATGGCCGAACACATATGTCCCATAGTGAAATGGTGTATCCAGCGCTGTAATTGGTTTACCAACGCGACTAATGATCTAGCTTCTGTTTTGCATCAAACCTGGGATAGTGTATGCATTACTGCAGGTGAGCCAGTTTGCTCAAGTAGTGGGCTTCGATAAGGACTTAAACGCTTGGCTACGGTACTGTAGTAGAAGTCCAGTAAATTTATTAGAGCAAAATTAATCCTTAGTGTGATATGTATTATGGCATCATGATGGCGGTGTACTGATTCCGGAAAGCAGCGGCGACTCTAACTATCATGGTTCTGCCGGGGCTATTCATAAAGAGACCCCCACTCTTGGCTGGGACACACAAGCAGTCGAATATCTCAATTGCTGATCAAGTCTCCTTTTACTGTCCAGAGGAGGCTGGTACTGTTAGAGGCAAATCTATCTCGGTTATACTAACTCACACCTGCGCCAAGCCTAATATTGCACCAAGCCTCCCCATGATTATTGTGCCATGCTTTCCATACTCGTGCCTCTTCGCCAAGAGTTGGCTCCCGTTTGTGAATAGCTGGCACTGACCTATAAGTAGTATAACCTTCAATTCACCATCCCCGGCCTATCCCTTCATCTGTTCGTGAGTTTCACACACTTTTAGTGATTTTAGAGAGTGGTGAAAGTGCGCCTCTAATACCTGTTTGGGAGAGATAGTTTCAACCATTATATCCTGGACTGCTGACATTCCCGAATTATCACCACCCTTCCCGTTGACTGTGATGGCACATGCTTTGGGTTACTGCTGTAGTTCTCCTTTGGTCTCTGCGTACCTGTGGTAACAAGTATCCTGAAGTATGCATACCTGCGAATTTCTAGTAACCAACAACAGCATTGCTTACTGATGATGATAGGGGTGGCAAGAAATTCTTAAGGTTCAAGTAGTGCGGAAGTTCGCGTTGTGCTTGAAAACAGGCAAAGGGATATCCCAATAATCAACGGACTGTAAATACAGAAACCAAAGTAGCAATCATTTGGACAAACAGAATCATGCATTAAATTGAATCTATTATCTCCTCCACATGCTTGAACTTGTAGCAAATTTGTGTTGAATGAACGTTGATGTGTGTATTTGACGTACGACTGCAGCATCATCAGGCAAGATCCCTCTATAGCATATCGTGGAATATATTGCCAC